GTAACACACACGCACAGGAAATCAATGTGAGTCAATGCCCTGTATAGCTGTCCTTATCTCAACCAGCAAAAACCCTTGTTCCTTCCTATTACGGCTTATACTCTCTCTACAACAAAATTAGAAATAAGGGCAAAATAGTTTCTGCTGGGTATTGAGGGGGTAGGGGGGAGAGAGGGGGGCGGAGTGGGTGGTAAGGGAGAGGGTGGGGGCAGGGGAGAGAAATAACCCAAGCCTTGTATGCACATATGAATAATAAAAGAAAAAAAGAAAAAAAAAAGATCTCTGTATCCTCAAGATAGCTCCCTTATTTGAAAGAAGAGAAACTTATTTTTAGAAATTTCAGTCCAAGAGAAAATGTTCATGACCATAAACCTACTCTATCCTGTGGACTTTGTAGAAGCTAGACTCTTGCATATATATGTGCACACTCCATGAGGCCATTAGATGCCATATAAATCCAGACCATGGGCTCAGGGAGTGGGCTTTAGACCAAAGGAGCACTAACCAGAATCCACACAGACTTGACCACGGTACCCTCTTGATGGCTTTCCAAAAGGTATGAGCTTATGTTGGTTTTCTAGAAAGGGATGGATGAATGAAGAATAGTAGAGGAAGCCTGTTTCCATATTGCCCCATTAGAACTTTCTATGGAGGGTTGGGGACATAGCTCAAGTGGTAGACAACACCTGCCTGGAGCTTTCTATGGACACATACAAATGTGTCTATTCTAGGTCAAGCGCTAGTGCGTGTGGAGGGTATTCAGGGGCTATGTTATTTCACGCATGTATACCCGTAAGCAGGAGACTGATTTAGGTGGCAAAATACTCACTCTATGGGAGGCATACCAGAAGTGCTTCCAAGTAAGGAAGCAACGGATTTCATTCTCCCAGTTCATTTTCATTCTGTCCCACATACCCAATGAGTTTGAGTCAAAGAAATACTGAATGCTGAATTGTCTCCTTTGTACCCATCTGAGAGTGTTCAGTGAACATTTGATATAACATGGTTTCTTTCTTGATGGAGGTGGGTTTTGGAAAGCTTCAAAGCACGGTGATTTCCAAGTTTGTTCCAGTGGCAATATACTGCAATACACTTTGAATTCAGGACATCAGAACCTCATGAACTATGCATCAAAGTAAATCCTAACACCTTCTTCATATTGATGATTTGTTAATAGAAACTAAAATGAATTTTGCTAGCAGACAAGTACAGCAATCCACAAGAATGATTTAAAAGGTAGCTTTAAAAGTGAAAATTGTCATTTGAAAATACACATGATGGACAAAAACATTTGATAAAAGAGAGAGTGGGGGAGGGAAAGAGAAGGATTGTGAAAGAAAGAGATTGAGAGATTGTGAAAGACTGATTCCCTCCAAAACACTAAGGTAGACTGAAACTGGGCAATTTCAAGTGTCAGAAAAGTACATAGTGCAAATGTGGGCTAGGAGAAGCAGATAACTAATATGGATTATCAGTAGGCAATCAGGATCAATGAAAATAATGTGCTACCTGACTTCTGTACCTGGGATAGCAAGAACTCTGGAAGGATGGAAAGTAAAAATATGGGGGAGAGGTGGGGTTATAATTTGTAGTTAAACTTGTATCTTTCTTTTTTATTCCAAACATGATCTTCTTAATCATTTTCCCCTTTTATGATACTTGCATAAACCTATTTGTTGTAAAGTAATGGTAGTGACTCTTCATGATCCTAGAAATCTGTTCCATGTAGGGAGGAGCTTGTAGTATAAGTTAGGTGGAAGAGAATGGGATCTAGCTAGAAAATTGAAATTGCATGCACTCCTGAAACTTCTGTCCCCATTCTGCCTTAGACAACACTGCCTCTTTAAACATAATCATAGGTTAGAAGTTTAGACATACTAAAACTTGTGAGTATTTTGCTTTTTCTTCCAAATTTCTGCCTTTGCTTTCTTTTTTCTTTAATTCCTATATATTGCTGAAGGTCAAGAAGCAAAAATTTCCATGGACTTCTCAAAAATGAGCCAATTAAAATACAATCCCATATGATAGTCAGTTGATTTTCCAGAATACAAAACCTGCAGTATAGAATTTGTACACACGAAAGGATCATCCCAGTGTTGTCAGGGTTCAGAAAGGTTGACAGCAGGGTCTGGCCCAGAGCAGACCTCCAATAAACTGTTATTGAAGAAATGAATTAAGTATTAACAGTGTTGTGTCTCAATGAAATGGAAGTTTGAGCACCTATCAGAAATGAGGGTGTTAACTGTATTTGTTATGAAGGAAATACATACATAGTCTGAGCACATTTTGTTATTAACAAATAAAGCAAGTCAGATACTGATGGCTCACACCTGTAATCCTGGCTACTTGGGAGGCTTAAATCAGGAGGATTGTGGTTCAAGGTCACCCTGGACAAATAGTTTCCAAGACCCCATCTTCAAAATAACCAGAACAAAATGGACTAGAGGTGTGGCTGAAGTGACAGAGCACCTGCTTTGCAAGCACAAAGCCCTGAGTTCAAACCCCAGTCTGACTAAAATAATAATAGTAATAATAACAACAATTAAAAACCCAGAAAATGGGCATTTGCCTGAATTTACATCAGATTACAGCAGTAGCCTCTGGTAGGTCTCCTTGTTGCTCTATAATCCTCTGCTCTCTGGGCTTAGTTCAAATGCCTCCTCCTCAGCAAAGTCCCTCCTTCACCTCGTCACTCAGCACCACAGCAGTCATTCTTCTTTGCTTTCTTCACAGCTCCTGACCATTTGGAACTATTTGTTTACATGTTAAGTCTCATGAGAGCAGGGTCCTGTCTATCTTGTTTATCATTCTACTCCCAACATCATTGAAGATGATCAAGAAATAGTCGATAAATAAATGAGGAAAAGTGTAGAAAGATATGCCCCAAAATATGTATAGGAATTATCATGAGGAGGAGGATTTTGGGTAATGTTAATTGATTTTTTTCCCTCTTTATTTATATTTCCTAATGTCTCAGCAAAGGTTACCTGTTCTTTATGTAATTCTTTAAAATCACTCCAGCGCTTAGCCAGACTGAAGGAGTGGTTTTAAGGATTGTAGACAGTTGCAGAGAACACATTACCTGCACACACGATGCAGTGCAGTGAATGCTAAATAAACGTTTGCTGATTGCACAGAAACCTTTATTCTAGGAGAAGATTCCACCACCTCAAGGTCTGCAGCTAGTGGCTCACCCATGTCTTTGTGTGGGTTGAAAATGTGTGACATGCAGCAAGGTGCAGGTGCACAAAGCCTTGCTCTTGGATTTCTGACTCTCATCCCCAGTTGTGCGCTTGTCTCTGGCAATCACAGAGTTATTTAACTCCAGGGAAAATCCATCATAAATAGCAGCCCATGGGACCCAGGCGTGTGTACACACTGCATTTTTCTTTAAGGAGAATGTGTGTGTCACATGTAACTGGCACATGGGCTGGACTGTATGCTTGTCTTCTAGGAAAAAACCCTGCATTACAGTATGTTCTTCCCCAGGTCATTTGAACTTGATCAGTGACGTGGCCAGTAATGGTTCTATTTGATAACAATTTTATGTTTTAGAAACCTAATAGACATAGTAATTATCTTAAAATATGGACCAGCCTTCCTTCCTTCCCCCCTTCTCTTTTTGAAATAGTGTCTCACTGTGAAGCCCAGGCTGGCCTTGAACTCTGGATCCTTCTGCTTCAGCCTCCCAAGTACTGGGATTGCAGGTGTGTACCATGATGCCTTATCCAAATTTTAGGTAAAGGCAGCTAGGCAAAGTGATGAACATTTGTTTTCTTTCTTTGTTACAAATGCCAGGCAATTCATAGAAAGAGTCATTTTTTCCTCAGTGCTGTACAAGGTATGTGTCAAGAGTCATTTTTGTTCAGGATGCCCTAGTGATCTCAAGGAACAATCCAGATTGATTTTAGAGTAATATCCAAATGTGTACTTGGTGAGAGCTCCTTGCCATGTGAAAACAGACACTGCTCAAAGCGAAGTGCTCCATCCTGTGTTGTGTGATCCTTTTGATGGCTTCTGGTAATCGTAGCCCAGTAGAATACTTAAGACAAAAAACTGTACGACTTTGAGGCCTCCTTCTTCCCACAGCAATCTTCTTTGGTTTCTAGAGTGGCTTGATTTTTCTCCTAACCCATCTTTGACTTCCTAGAAACATCCCAGGGTACTTTTGATGATATGAGGCCTGTTTGGCCCTGGTAGTTGAATACAGACCCCAGGAAAAGCAAAGCTGTAGGGTGTGTAGATGTTGGTTGGCTGAGACACCGAGGAGTGGGGCTGAGCCCAGTGACACAGAACAGCAGAAGGATGCCGCCTGCTTGGCTAAAAGGCGCAGCAGTAGGGCCAGCTATTGTAAAGCCCCTCCACCACATGAACAGGGACCCTTCTCTGGTCACAATAGCCATTCACGCTGAGCAGCCTCATTAAATATTCAGCCTGTGCTTCCGGCAGCTCATTAGGGCTGCAATGAACAGTGACGTGGAGGCTGGGAAGCCAAGGACCGGCCAGCATCAGTAGCAGAGGCTGAGTGAGCTGCCGATGGCTGTTCTGTTCCCTGCTTGTCCTGTGATGACCAGTGTGTGCTCCCTGCTTTGCCTGAAGTACAGGTAAAAACGAAACCAAACTGAAAACAAGCAGATGACACTTGAGAACTTCTATCCTTGTTTTAGAGGTTGTCTGGCAAGGGCTTCTGATGTTGGCACGCTGGCTCCCTTGAAGCCCCCCTGACCTCTTTACAGAGCTCGCTGAGGCTTTGGGGGCCTTGGCTAAGCACAGACATGCTATTGTGTAGTGGGGCTGTTTGATGACTCCATTTGAGGGGGGTAGGAGCATGGTTTTGAACTTGGTGCTGAGGGTTTAGAATAGTAAATGTGTGCTCTGTAACCTGTCAAATGTAGAAATATGTGTGTGTGTGGGGGTCCTAGTGGTTTATTGGAGGAGTTTACTCTGTACCAAGTTCTCACATACTAGAGTGGCTCAGGTCTGTCTGTCCGTTTTCACTGTCAGGTTGGACGTGTTTATATGAAAAAGATAGTTCTCAGCAGTTTTGATGTCCTCCAAGGCTCAGTGCTGTCCTTGTGTCTTAACTACTCTCCCATGGCTTTGCCATCAGTGCCGTGTGGTGGTTAAAAGCTGGGGAATTTTGTGAAAGGAGATTTGGAAAATGATGAACTCGGGCAAAGGTGTATTTCTGTGGTTTCACAATTTGTGTGTTTTTCTCGTTTCCACACAGAAAATGTTTTCAGACTGCTCACTTCTATGTGGAAGATAGCAGCTCGCCGCGGGTGGTCCCCAACGAAAGTATTCCTATTATTCCTATCCCAGGTAAGCGAGGTGCTGCTCTTACTTCCGGGGGCTTGTTTTCTAGTTCGCTTTGTTTTATGTGATAGCCATGACAAAACAGTATGTTCATAGCCGTTTACAACTTGCCACGTCTAGAAGATCCTTACCTAAGGGCAATTTAATGAAATCTTTGCTGCTCTGCATATCTACAAAGTAATAAATCCTCTTAAGAAGAACAAATAACCCAACTATAAGTTATTACAGAATAGAATTACATGTAAGAAAGGAAAGTAACAGTAAGAAAATGGAAAAACAATAATTGTACTTACAATCAACTTGGATGAAATTTCATCTGAATGAGCATTTTGTGCATACATTTTTATCATAATTTGTGATATATTTTTAAAGGTGTGGTTTCTCCTAAGGGTCCTTACTCTGGTGATACTTTTAATATGGGACATTT